TTGCTTAAGATTGCTTTGACTATAGTGGTGTTTTCTGGTTCCATGTGAAGCATAAAATTATTAGATCTGAAAAAATGATGTTGGTATTTTAATGGGGATTGTACTGCGTCTCTAAATTACTGTTAGTGTAGATATTTTAATAATGTTGATTCTTCCAATCCATGAGAATGATCTGTTTTATTTATTTATTTATTCATTTATTTTTGCAGTTTAGGGCCAGGGCCAGGTTTGAACCCACCACCTCCGGTATATGGGGCCGGCACCCTATGCCTTTGAGCCACAGGTGCCACCCGAGCATGATCTGATTTTCCAGCTGTCTATATCCTCTGTGATTTCCTTCCTCAGTGATCTGCATAGTCCAACACTGAGTAACAAAACAGAGGCAGCAATAAAACTATCTTCCAACAAGTAAAAGTCCTGGCCTGGTTGGTTTTACAGCCAAATTTTAACAGACTAAAAAGACAAATTGGTACCCATACTATAGAAATTATTTCATAACATCAAGAAGGAGGGAATCCTCCCAAACTCACTCTATAAAGCCAGTATTACCTTGATGCCAAAGCTGAGAAACTTTGGTATCAACAAAAGTTGATACCAAACTTTTGGTACAACAAAAAAGGTAATTACTTACCAATATCCCCATGAATATAAGTGCAATTAGGGTGGCACCTGTGACTCAGTGGGTAGGGTGCCAGCCCCATATACCAAGTGGTAGGTTCAAACCCAGCCCCAGCCAAACTGGAACAAAAAAAATAGCTGGGCATTGTAGCGAGTGCCTGTAGTCCCAGCTACTCAGGAGGCTGAGGCAAGAGAATTGCCTAAGCCCAGGAGTTGGAGGTTGCTGTGAACTGTGACGCCACAGCACTCTACTGAGGGTGCTAAAGTGAGACTGTCTCTACCAAAAAAAAAAAAATTGTCAATTAAATTCTAGAAAACAATACAGTGGCACATGAAAAAAAAAAATCCACCATGACCATGTGGACTTCACCTCAAGGATGCAAAGATGGCTGTCATATATCAATGTATAAATGTTACCACATAAACATAAACACCATATAACCCTCTCAGTAGACACAGAAAAAGACATTTGATAAAATTCAGTACATTCAATACCCTTTTGTGATAAGTAATTTTAACCAAATAGGCATAGACGTTATATTACTCAAAACTATTAAAGCCATACATGGCAAATCCACAGTCAACATTATATGGAAGGGACAAAAACTGAAAACTGTCTGTTCACAACTATAACTAGACAATATTGTCAATAGTCACCATCTCTGCTGAATATACTGCAGGAAGTCCTGACCAAAACAATCAGACAAGAGAACAAAATCAAGGGTATCCAAATAAGAAGAGGTCAAACTGTCACTTTTGCTGACAATATGATCTAGAAAACCTCAACAATCCTGCCAAGAGACTCCTAGAATTGATAAATAAATTCAAGAAGGTTTCAGGTTATCCCAGGATGAAGGAGGGAAGAGGAGGGGGAAAGGAAGGAAGGGGGGAGTTTGGATGGAGGGAGGGTAAACAGTGGGACCACACCTATGGTGCATATTGCAAGGGTACATGTCAAATCTGTAAGTGTAGAGTATAAATGTCTTAACACAATAATTAAGTAACCAAGGTGAAGGCTATGTTAACCAGTTTGATGTAAGCATTCCAAATTGTACATAAAATCAGCACATTGTACCCCATAAATGCATTAATGTATACAGTTATGATTTAATAAAAAAATCAATATACAAAAATTAGTAGCATTTCTGTACACCAGTGATCAAGCTGAGAGAAGCAAATCTAAGACTCAATATCTTTCATAATAGCAATAAAGAAAGTAAAATACTTAGGAATATATTTATTTTTTATTTATTTATTTTTATTGAATGGTAACTATGTAGGAATATATTTAACCAAGGAGGTGAAAGACCTCTGCAAGGAGAACTATGAGTCATGTTTACTTTTGAAAATATTTTGGAATTTGAAATAGTCTTTAAATTTTGATATGGTTCTGACAGTAAATAATAGTTATAATTTTGGGTTGCTTCCTTATTATTTTGTGTGATGTGTTTACTTGCCAAACTAAATCTTTGGCAGTCCTATGATGGTCAACTTATTGAAATTTATTGTTGTTGTAGGAAATCCAAATTCTCAGAAGTGTAGAGTTGGCCAAAATAAGTCAAATGCTCTATTGCTTCTCCTATAAATGGATTCGGATTAGACATCTTTCAGTACCTTTCAGAAAATTTTCCATGAACTCTTGCCCACTGAAGCCATCTTTACTTGAATTTCTCTTTACAGAATTCAATAATTATTCTTCCTCTGATGCTATACTCTTTCCCATGACTGCAGTTAATGTCATTCAATGGCTTAAGCAGCTCTAGCCTATTTCACAATTCATCTTGTCAAAGGTACCTCCCATTTCATTCAATTGAGGAATATGTTCTCCTGGTATGGAGACACCATCAGAGGGGATGCAGTGCTTTGGAGCTACCTGAAATTTTTAGGCTGTACCTGCTAGAAACACCAGAGTTCCCCAGTGAAGTACCTTCTTTAGTGAAGTGAATGATGAACATCCAAAAATCTCTAGTGAAGTTAATACATAAATAATATGTTGATACAGTTGACCTAGAATTGAATTTACTCAGTAGCATGTTTTAGTTTCATTTTTTTTTCCAAATAAGAATAACAGCATTAAATGTAGAAAAAAGTGTCAGGAGCTACCAGAGATTCCATGGGAAGAAGTTTTAGAACAGAATAAGGAGGAGCAAGATTTTGGCAGCTATCAATACCTTGGGAACTTGAAGTCCCCTTGAAAGGAGCATGGCTGACTCCTATGCACAGACACCACCCTCCTGCCTTAGGGCTTAAACTGTGCATCCCAATGTAATTCACACTATTCAGAAGACCATATGGCTAGGAAAATAGAAAGGAAAGGGGTGGGGTGGGGAGGCCTCATAAGCGAGAAGAAAAGGGAAGGAATAGAAAGGATCAGAAGGTGATAAAATGAATGAGTCTGAAAGCCTCAATGTTGAAAATGAACAAAGAGATTGGTTTTGTCATCTCCCTAGCTAGGGTTTGACTCTTCTCAAAAGTAGGCCAGATAGAACTCTGTTTCAATCCCTATTGTTGGATAGTTCAAAAATTCCTAAACTGACTGCTTATATTTTAGACAATTCTGATTTTTGGAAGAATCTTCCTTAATTGAGAAAAAGTGTGCCTTTCTGTAACTTTCTCCTCTTCAACCAAAACTACTATGGTAAAAACTCCTACAACTTCAACAACTAACCTTCAGCCCTGCTAATGTGTAACCTAACAGTCCCCCAATATCAGCAATTAATCTCTATCCTCTTATCTTTATTTTCTCTCTGAACATTTTACCTCCTGAGATTGTACTGTGTATATGTCTGCCTGGTAATTACCTTTTTTTGAAACTAAAGCTTAAATCTAATGAGGGAAAGAACTTTGTATTTTTGGTTCATCTCCTTATCACATAAGGGATATTGTCAGGCAATTACTAGACATTCAACAAGTATTTATAAAATGAATGATCAAGAGAATGAACTAATCGATGAATATGTGATGTCAATTTCCTTTACCACGGCCACATTCCTCAGAATATACTTCAAAATGCCAATGGCCCCTTGAGTAGTGATATCCACTAAATAAATTACATTCCAATAGATCTAGTCTAATTACTATAGCGCAAATGATGACCGGAACATTTCTCACTCTGCATACCAAAATGTGGCTACTGTAGACAAGGTCACATTATGGAGCTGCGTTTTTTACTTATATTGATGCCATTATCATCAAAAACTTTTAATTCTCAGTAGCCAACCAGTGTCTCTCCCACACTTGTTCATTTTTGTATAAGTATAGAATTTCATATTACCCATGTATATTTTAATATCATTAAATCTGGCAATCACCTTGTGAATCAAGATTCTCTCATCCATCAATTGTTTTTACAACTTCACATTATCTGAAAATATGACCAAACCTCTTTAACGTTCTTGTTCAAATCATTGGCAAAAAGAAGTACTATATCATACAGCTTGATTCCTGGCTACTTCATGCACATATCTCTAATAGGGAGCTCTGTAGTTAGGAGTACAGTGATCTGAAGGTCATGCCCTGATACCTGGAATGATGTCCCAATGAGATATTATTTCCGTTTTCTGAAAGGATTGAATTCCTGCACCAAAGGGAAAGTGAGGATGAAGGTGAAGTCATAGGTTATGAAAAATCCTGGGAATCATATGGGGTAAGAAACAGCTACAGATTACAAGAGAAAAGCAGCATCATTGGTATCATTAAAATAGCTGTTCTAATACAAAGTCAAAACTGAATTCACTTGCCCAGATGGGAGCTATGCTCTACTGGACTTTGTGCTGGACTGTGGTAGCCTGAGCGATGGCCTCTGAAGAGAAGGAATAGGCAACTTCTGGATAGTTACTAGTGATGTTTACAAAATGTGTATACGTTCTTGATAAAATTAGCCTATGTCTTTGACATTTTTTATACTAAGTTGCAGCATAAACATAGTTCTCTCTCTCTCACACACACACACTCCCACCCTACTCCATCTCAATATCCTCCAAATTATATAAAGGCTTTGGGATTGAAAAACAACTCCTCTCCTCAAAATGTTTAAAAGCATTATTCTTTCTGCCCTTCAGGGATTTTGATTTTCCAATTAACTAACTCTCTAGTTCTCATATTAAGCATTTTCAAAATTAACATATCCAAAATATTTTTTTATGTTCATTGCCCTCCCTCTTCTGTCAACTTCTTTATTTCTAGTACTTTTCCAAAGCGCATTAAAGATTAGAAAATTATGTTACTTGATAATCTGCAAAGATGTCTCAACCATTCTCAAGTATGAAATGCATAAATAATCATGAATTTTTTGCCCTTTAAGAGAGAAAGAAAATTACAAAAAAACTATGACAAATTTTATGTTTTCTTGCTTTCTATGAGATCCCACTTTGTCAAGATGTCTACCTATACCTATCCCCAACCACCTTTCTCAGTGCATTCTTCACATCCTTGTTTCTCAGGCTGTAGATGAGAGGGTTCAGCATGGGAATCACTGTGGTATAGAACACAGAGGACACCTTCTCCTGTTCCATAGTATTGCTGGAAGGGGGCTTGAAATACATGAATGTTATAGACCCAAAAAAGATGCCCACCGCCATGAGATGGGAGCTACATGTGCTGAAGGCTTTGGACCGCCCCTCAGCAGAGCGAATGCGGAGAATACTAGAGAGGATAAAAGCATAAGAGACGAGGACAGCCAGTGTTGGTGCTAAGGTATTAACTCCTCCAATAATGAACAGCAGGATCTCATTGATGTGGGTGTTAGAGCAGGACAAAGTCAACAAGGGGAGAATATCACAAAAATAATGACTGACAATATGAGACCCACAGAAAGACAACATTGACATGCGGGTAGTATGCACTGTAGCCCCAAATAACCCCAGAGAATATACCACAGCCATCATTATAGAACAGACCCTATTGGACATGATAACATTATAAAGCAGCGGGCTACAGATAGCAACATAGCGGTCATATGCCATAGCCGTCAGAAGGTAGCCTTCTGCAATCACAAAAATAAGGAAGAAATAAAGCTGTGTCATGCACTCCCAAAAGGAGATAATGTTCTTCTCTGACACAAAGTTCACCAGCATCTTAGGGGTAATGACAGAGGAGTAGCAGAGATCGATGAAGGACAAATGACTAAGAAAGAAATACATTGGAAAGTGAAGTTGAGGACTGATAGTAATTAAGAGGATCATGCCCAGGTTCCCTACCACGGTGACCACATATATTCCAAGGAAGAGGAGAAAGAGAGGCAACTGAAGCTCTGATCGTTTTGTCAGCCCTTCAAGGATAAACTCAGTCTCTAAAGAATGGTTTGAAGTAGCCATTTCTTACAAGGTACTCCTGTAGGAAGAAATAAGAGAAAAGAAGGACATTCGGCATTTTCTGACTCCCAAAACAGAATGCCATGCCCTGTCTTGACTGTTTTCTTCCCTGATAGCCTCATCTGGTCCATGCTGAGGTTCTTTCCCCCAGCCCCTTAAAAGCTCAAGGACAAAGACTACCAGCATAACCCAGAGCCTTGGTTTCACCCAACCCTGTTGAATACTCCTCTTTAAGTCAGAACCCTTTCCTCTGTTCCCAGACTTAAACCCATAACTACCTTACTCCGGAAGCACAAACTATCTATACCTAATTAGCTTATCATTGCTACCATTAAAATAAGACTGACTACCCTGTTTATCTGAGCATATACCAATAGAACATTCAGACTTCGTTACAACATGCCTTTCGGTTTAGGTATAATGGTATCAAAGAAGTTTATTTCAATTTCCCAAGCCATCTACATTAATCAGTGCAATTAGCATTCTTTAGAACTGAGATCAAAGAAAAATAAAAGATCTCTGCAAATAAAGTGTGAACACAAAAATAAATTGTAGAAAATGGCTCTAATCAATTCATACCCTCAATATCTCACTCTTATTCTTTGAATGGAAAATTGAGTGGGCAAGGACATTCTTTGTTCAGTGTTGACATGGTTGATAGAAATGCAGAGTCAAAGACCAATCTCAGACTACAGTTTAGACCTTTCCTGTTCCAGAAAAAGAAAGAAATAGGAATGACTATCGGGTGTAATACCCGAGCCATCAATGAATCACTGCCTCGTCCCCGACCACGCTCTGCTGTCTATTATTGATGGCCAAACTCTCAGTGACATTGCTCTCCCAAAGCTGTTGGATCAGAACTGGAAGAGTTCTCATGCAATGATTTAGTTTTCCCTGAATTTCAAACAGAGGACTCAGGGTTTCTTGGTGTCAGGTGAAACACTATATATTACCCGAAGAATCAAGCTTGATAATTTTTCATTGGGTTGTTTGAAAAGCATAAATCATCCCTTTGATTAATGATACACAAGAGATAAATATGCAATATCATATCTATGTTTTATAAATTCTGTTAATGTATTTCCAGAATGAGAAAAAAATCAATAGAGGAAAACACCACATGGAGTGATATATAATTTGCTTTTGTTATGAAAAACATTCTTATGATAAATAACAAAAATGTATGAAAATTTACTGCAACATATTTTATACACCTTATACTCTATATTAAGAGTGCTAAATGTATGTGTTGACTTAAAGGCTGAATTAGATGCAATGGTGTTAGCTTCAAGAACACAGGAAAGCCATGTTCCTGAATTCAGGAAATTAGGCAATACTCTAAGAGAAAAAGCATCCAAGTTGCCAGTGTACAACTCTACATAGCCCCATGAATAATGAATACAATATTGGACCATCTTCAGTCAGATGTTCTGACCTTGTTCACGGAATCACATGAGTCAGGATGCAGCCTAACATTTTTGTAACTCCTACGGAAGCCAACAAGCTACGTAAGTGAGCTGGGAGAAAAGTGGGGCATTTTTGGTTAGGATCTACTTGGTGGGCACCAAAGCTGTCGGACAGGCTCACACGGAGCTGACTACATTTCCTATTATAATTCCAAACAATATAGACATTAATACCACTAGGAAGAGTTGTCTCCGGGCCAGAACCAGAGCATCTCTATCTATCTCTGTCTCTCTCTCTCTCATTGTAAACAGAGTTTACAAAGCCCATTAGAAATAAATTAATTTAAATTTCACAATATCCTCTTATTAAAGTGTATTCACTTTACAGTCTATACTGGTCCTCTCTTATCACCATTCCATTCTTTGTCTTAAGACATAATGTTAACATACCTGAAATTAGCCGGGACGAAGCAGCAAATTCAAAAGGAGCAGGATACAGGAGTGAGCAGTGAGCTGTTAGAGCTGAGGGTAGAAAGAAGACCAGTTTAGCAGCATCAAAAGAGACTTGCAGAAAATTGTACCCCACGAAAACACCTATGTCCCCAAAACAGCGCATGGGCATAAACATGATTGCCCTGGGTCATCAAGAGAGCATTTCCTTGTTTTCACTATCTTCAATCCCAAACAGCAGGGGGACAGGAAATGCCATGTGTAAATTTTCTGTCCAAGTAATTTAGTTAACAAGGCATCTTAAAGTTTAGAAAAAATAATAAAGCATTTATGCAATGAATGAAAATGAAATAATAGTGCACCAAATTAAAATGAAAGTGAGTGACCTATTTTTCCAGGCAGTAGGCTCCTCTGTGAGCAGATAAAAAGATACTGCTTTGTCTCTCTCTCTCAGTCTTTTTTCCCCCAAGGCTGGTGGCCTACAATTTTACTGCTTTTAAGGCTTTCGAATGCTACCACTATAAGACAGAAAAATGCCAGCTCTTTTTCTTGAGAAGCATAAATGCATCAAGAAAAGTAACTGGTTATTTGCACCATCAGCTATTCAAAAACATGGGCTCATTCAAGTTAACCATGAATATCCAGGATTTTTTTTTTATTTTATTAAGTCAAATACACATAGATCATGGATACATTCATGCATATGTAGGGTACAGTGTGCTGATTTTTTTTTTGTACAATCTAATGTGATTACATTTAACCAATCAACATAGCTTTCACCTCATTTACTTGATTATTGTGCCAAAACATCTACATTCTACATTTCACAGATTTGACTCGTACCCTTGTCCTATGTTCCATAGGTGTGATCCAATACCCAGGATTTAAATTAAATTTTGCATGTAGTTGCCTAATTAGAATATAAAATTAAATTGCATCATTTTTCTTCTTTTATTTAACATAGATATATAAATACAAGACAATCTTTCATGCGGACCCCTCACTTTTTAAACATACAATTATCTAGGGCTGTTATTGATCTGTTCTTTTCTCCCACTAGAAAGATAACATTTAATATTTTTTAAATATTAAATTAAATTTAAAATTTAGGTATTTTTGAAAAATACCTAAATTAATCTGTTGGAGAGCATAGAATATAGAATTATAGTTATTGAAGAAATCTCAGTGTTTTTCTCATGTCTGTGTTTCCTGTGTTTGTTATTTTATCTAAAGCAAAGGTTACAAAACATCTGTATAACTTTTATCAGAATGAAATCTTTGTTAATTTCAAGTCTTCTCAGCTAAGACCATATCATGACAGAGGGAAAAGCTTCTTCTCTGAAGTCAGAAGAGTGGGCTGTGAGCATGACCCCACTGCGTGGAGCAGCATGTGTGTGACTATAGCCGGTCATTTACTTTGACACTTTATTTCTTCATCTATAAATAAGGTAGTTAGAAAGATAAAGATCTGTACAGAGTTTTGCAAACTTTAAGCCACTATGTAACTATTGGTTACTATTTTACATTTATTAACTAATTTCTGAGTTTGTTGTTCAAATGTACTCCAAACTCCCCAAAGTGGCAGGGCCCCCTTCTCTAGGGGAATGAACGAGAAGGTAGATCAGAGTCTGCATTGTTTGAGATCATCAAAAGAAAAGCAGCATTTCTTCCCGGGTTTTATCAAGAAGAGCCCTCTCATTCAAGTGGAAAAGCAAAAAACATAAAAAATTATAAGAAACACAGAGGTCAAGACATTTCTGGGGTTCCTACAGCTACTCTGGAAGAATTGCCAAGATCTGGGGACATTTTGGAGGCGACGAGTAATAGAATATTCTGATTCCCGTGTAGAAGGGGATCACATGGGTAATTATGCCAGCTCTGTTCCTGCAGACAGTATTTGATATACCACAACCAAGTGAATAATAATCAAGAATAAGTTAGTGCCCAGTCACAATGCAAGTTTGACAATTCAGTACCAAAATTGCCACTTGTGTCTTCCATTAGATGTGATTTAACTAGCTAAAACTATCTGTAAAAGAAAAGACCTTCCAGGTAAGCCTGGAATGAAAGAGATTTCAGGACAATAAGACATTAAAATGTTGGTGCCCGCAAGGCTTGTTTGGTTCATTAGTGGAAACAACAAAGCTGAAATGCAGATACTGGGAAATTGAATCGAAGAAAGTATAGCCAAAGTCATTCTGGGTATAGACAGAAAATAGGTAAATAACTACAGATACGCTTTGACTTACAGTGGGATTATGTCCCAATAAAATAATCATGGTGTGAAAACACTGTAAGGCCAAAAGTCATTTAATACCCCCAATAAACCCATCCTATGCCAAGGCAAAAAAATCATAAGTGGAACCATACTAAATCCAGATGGTCCTTGACTTAAAATGAGGTTATGTCCAGATAAATCCATCTTCGTCTTAAAATCATAAATTCAACCATCACAAATCGGAGACAATCTGCATATACAAAATTCAGGCTTACCTTTTTCCAGGCAAAATTTTCAAAGCATTTGGCTTTGCTTGCAATGTATGTTTTTATAGTATTAAAAAAAAATAATTGAGTACAATCTCAAGAAGCAAATGCATACAATGGCATAATGATGAGTTTTAATGGCACTTGGAAGCCGTTCTACCTGTAACCAAATCTTAGTTTTGTCACTTACCAGTTTTGTGACTTTGGGCAAATTATACACCTATTTGCTATGCCATAGTGTCCTCATGTGTAAACTGTATCTTATAGGGATTTTATTTTTTAAGGACTAAATGTATCAATAAAATCTGAAATAGTAAAAAGCCTGGCACATATTTCATATAATACAACTACAAGACATTATAAACTGCTCATCTTTAGGAAGTAATTGCTAATTAAAGCATTTAAGTAGAGCCAATCCAAATACTACATAGTACTTATAAAAAACTGATAACCATTTACTTAAGACAGTTGCCTTTCAAAAACTGGAATCCTAGCACTTAGCGGAAATGTTGAGATGGAGCTTAAAAGTATATGACTAATTCCCAAAGGTTTACAAAATCTCTCAAGATTTGGCTCTCTGTGTAATACACAATTAATGATAAAATAAACTAGAGCTTTTCCACCTGCTCTCAGAAAGATTTAATCACCCAATAAATTGGTTTC